GCATTCATTTATCTTCACTGGTAGTTCATTTATCACAAGGAGTTTGTGTATTGTGAAAAATCCTGATTGAAAGCCTGTCTTCTTTGAAATTCAGCCTGGAAAGCAAGGCCTTGATGCTCAGAAGTTTTGTTTACAAAGAGAAATAGCAATAAAAAAAATGGGTTTGTTTCTCCCTTTCAGTTGGCAGTATGTTAGACTTATTTCTTAACATTCTTAACAGTCTCAAGAATAGTGATAAATAATAAATTAAATAAGTAGCTGTTTCCTTGATTTCCCAGTGAATTTTAACAAGACATGGGATGCAAATTGTAGAATTATTGGAAAAGTGTATTATCAGTAGTCTCAGGAGTTTAGGTGAAAAAATAGTAAGTTTATATTAAGTTAAAAGAATTATTTTATTTCTTTCTGTATTCTGTGATGTGTGAATTCATCATCTACTTTCATTTCATTTCATAATAAAAAAGACCTTAATATCTCCTTGACTAGAACGATGATTGAAAACAGACATTACTAAGCTCATCTTTTACCAAATGCAAAAATTTCTGAGTTTTGGAGAGGAGAAAGGCTTTGCATAACTTTTCTCCTGAGAGATTTGTTGCTTGTTCTCTGTAAGCAACAAATAATAGCAGCCCAATAGCAGCCCCAGCACAGCCTGCTCAAGTTATACTACTAATCAGCAGGCTGATTTAGTAGAATGAAGGAAGGAAAAAGAAAAGGAGGAATCTTTCTTTCTCTCATCTACTCTGTTATCCCTTATTGCTTGGAACAGAAAAAATGGGGCACTAGTTTTACAGAATACAGAATAACAGAGTTGGAAGGGACCTTAGAGGTCTTCTAGTCCAACCCCTTGCTCAGGCAACAAAACTATATATCATTTCAGACAAATGGGTGTCCAATCTCTTCTTAAAAACTTCCAGTGAGGGAGCACCCACAACTTCTGGAGGTTCCACTGATTAATTGTTCTCACTGTTAGAAAATGTCACCTTAGTTCTAGGTTGCTTCTCTCCTTGATTAGTTTCATCCATTGCTTTTTGTTCTGCCTTCAAGCGCTTGGAGAATTGGGGCAGCTCCATAGATATTGGAACACTGCTATTGTGTCACCCCTAGTCCTTCTTTTCATTAAACTAGACCTGTGGTGGCGAACCTATGGCATGTGTGCCACAGGTGGCACTCAGAGTCCTATCGGTGGGCATGCGTGCCGTCGCCCCAGTCCTAGGCCTTCAGCTGGGTTTTATAAAACCTTTTCGCTTTAGGCCTCCGCCTCCCTGTGCAAAAAAAAAAGAAGGTTCAATCAATCAATCAATTTCAACTTCTCGCGGGGAAAAAATCTCACAAAGTTGGAATTGATTGATTGAACTTTTTAGTCCCAACCAGTCTGCCATTACCACCGCAGCCACGCACACCCAATGGGCCACATCCACCCAATGGGCCACGCCCATCCGGCACCCGACGATGCACAAGTGGGTTTTGGGTTGCAGTTTGGGCACTCGGTCTCTAAAAGGTTTGCCATCACTGAACTAGATACCCAGTTCCAGCAACCATTCTTTATATGTTTTAGACTCCAGTCCCCTAATCATCTTTGTTTCTCTTCTCTGTACTCTTTCCAGAGTTTCAACATCTTTTTTATAATATGGAAACCAGACTGCATACCGGATGCAGTATTCCAAGTGTGGTCTTACCAAGGCAGTTTTGGACTAGTGAGCTGACAGAATGGATTTCGGGTATGGAGTATAATGAACTAGGGGAGAAGAACTGGGAATTTTTCTCCAGCTATAAAGTAGAAATCGATTGAGACTAATAAAAGTGCATTTATGTTGTGGGATGTTTTTTTTACAAGCTTCCTTCCCTTCGCCTCTTCAAAAGCAGTATGTTATCTGAGCCCAGGTATAGATCAGTTTGCCAATATTTTTAATATTCCTAGCTTGCTTAGTGAGAACAGCTATGTTCTGTGGAAGTTTTTTTACTTGCTGCAGTTGGGAGGGATGTGAGACAACAGACTAATTTAGACATAACATTTATGGTTTGTTAAAGTGTGGGAATGAGACTTAGGCCCTTGCTGCCTTTTTCTCCCTTTCTCTTGCCATTTTCCAAGCTCTGCTTGTAGAGTTTAGCCTTTCATGTTTAATTTAAATCCAAGGGGATTTTTTTTAATATATTCAAAATAGGGATAGTGGTTTAATCATTGTTTTAATCACCATTAATGATGATTTAGCTCATCACAGCATTATTTAATTTACAGGGTCATAAACTGTTATTAAAACCAAAGTTATCTGATTTGTATCTAATTAATAGGAAATTAATGTGACAAAGCTGGAACAAAAGTGTAGAAGGAATTGTCAAAGTCGTATGGAGGCTTGCTAAAGTGTAATTGAGAATAAAAGTGCACAATTTGAGAATCCAGTCCTTAAAATGCTTGTATAGTAGCTCTCTGATCTCTCTCTACAATACCACACTAAGAAGGAGAAAATATTAATTAAACAGCAAATAGGAACTGCATTTGATTCAATATGTTTAAAGTATATTGTCAAACTAAACTTTATATTAAATCAACTCTCATAATTCTTTAAGCCCCATTTGGGAGTGGTTTGGTTTAGTGCAGGGGTAGGCAACCTTGGCTCTTTTATGACTCGTGGACTTCAACTCCCAGAATTCCTGAGCCAGCATGGCTGGCTCAGGAATTCTGGGAGTTGAAGTCCACGAGTCATAAAAGAGCCAAAGTTGCCTACCCTGGTTTAGTGGTTAAGAGCCAGTTTGATGTAGTGATGAAGGCTAGAAACCAGAAGATGGTGAATTCTAGTCCCACATTATGCATGAAAGCCAGCTAGGTGACTTCTCCCCAAGCCAATCCTCCTCACAGGCATTGTTGTTGTGGGGAAAATAGGAGAAGGAAGGGATGTGAGTATGTTCTTGAGCTATTTATAAAAATAATAAAGGTGAGATAATAAATTGTCTATCTAGTCCTCTATTTGAAGTATGGCTCCCAGCATCTCAACCAAGCACCAAATGGAACCCTCATCCTGAAAAAGCTGCCAACTATTAAGCTTGTGTCCCGCTTGACCCGACAAAAGCCATTCTCTTGATTCTTCTTGAGCCAACTTCCATTGAACTCCTTTGGGGGCTTGTTCTGAATGACACTCCACAGACAGCCATTCTATCTTGTTGCATGAGAAGAAGTCTAATGTTCTCAGTGGAGATCCCTGCTAATAGGTTCCTTTCCCATTTGCTTCGGTCTTTTATCTTTTTAAAACAAGAAATAGAGGTTATGCAGTTTGGTAGCTCAGTTTCTTTTGTTCAGGGATAATCTTGGCCCAATTAAAAACCTGGGGAATGAATCTGATTAATTCAGCCCACGAATTTCCTATTTTGTCTATGCATGTGAAAGTGAAGAAAAGAAACCCATATTTGTAGAAACGATGCTCTGCTATATCCTATATCATACACAAGAAAGCATCTTTTTTGAATGTCACAGCAAAATAGCTCACATTCTGTTGCATATTGCCTTCTAATTCAGTATTTTCACTTATCTTGCATTCTGTTTGCCAGTGAAGTAATTTTGCATATGCTATGTAATATCCTTTTTCAGCTGTTGTTATAATGCGGCTGTTTTAGAATGAAGCAACTGAGCTGTTGATTAGAATTTTCAGAGCACATTCTGCAATTAAGCATCCTTAAGGTGCTTAATTAGATCTATAAAGAGAATATAAATACTGCAATTACCCTGAAAAATATTTAGGTAATAATATCTGTTATAAAAATCAACTATTATTCAAAGACCTTCGTAAGCAGTGATAATCTCAACAACCTTTATATTTTTGTAAGGTTGATGTGTCTGAAATTTTGCTGTTGTGCAATCTTCCATAGATGGGACCGCTCCTAATCTTGTGTTCCATAGGCATATCTTGGTTATTTGATTCATCATTGTTCAGGCACCCTGAAGCTAGGAATAAACTAGTGTGGAAAAGTTTTTGCCATCATGCTGCATTTGCTTTTATTGTGGGAGAAGCCTCTATTCATTTTTGAGAACATGTACATAACTAAAAGATGCTTAAATTCCTGAGAAAATAGTTGATCCATTAAATCTGTTACCAAGCTGAACATTAGACCTTCTGTATATCCTAAGACAGTGGTGGCGAACCTATGGCACGGGTGCCAGAGGCGGCACTCGGAGCCCTCTTTGTGGGCACACGTGCCGTTGCTCCAGCCTTGCCTCCCCCCGCTCCCCCCTCCTCTCCAGCAGCCCCCCTGAAGGAAACTCGCCCTTGAGTGTGGCCCACACGGAGCATCGCAGCCAAGGACATGGCAGCCAGGCAGTGTAGACAAAACTCTGCCCTCACATCCCATCATGCAGTTGATGCTGCAGGGCGTAGGCAGAGGGTGTGGCCGCCATAGCGCTGCTGGGCTGCCTGGGCAATCTGCGGCGGGCCCTGGAGGTGGTGAGTGGTCCTTTGGGCAGGCGGGGCGGGGGTTGGGGGTCAGAGTGGGAGCGGGCAGGAGGGTGGAGCGGGGGCAGGGCCAGTTTTGGGGCACTCGGTCTCTAAAAGGTTCGCCATCACTGTCCTAAGACATGTTGTGGTTTTAGATCAACTGTAGCATTGTTTGTCAGGCACCATGTATATATTGTTCTTATGGATTCAGTTATTATTGTTCAGCCAGGTGCAAATGAGAGATAGTATATTTGATCTCCCCTTTGTTGGATAACTGCGATGGGTCACTCAAACCACAGCCAACAGGATTACAAGGTCCACAGGCTGCTTTTGGTGAGCAGTTTCTCTTTGTTCAAGAGTTCAAGTCTCTCAAAAGGTGAGAAGAAAGTTAATTGAACATTAACTTTCAGCTGCTGCGTTGATGAGGTTCTTGCATAGAAGAAATAGCCAATGATTTTAACTATTATAATAATACAGGGAAATAGAAGGTTATCTAATAAGTCTGAATTCAACGAGGGGTATTTGATGAAAAACCAGATGAATATTTTTTTCTCTTTCTCTATTTCATGCTTTTAGGGTATTCAGTTAACTCCTAGACGATGGCTAAACCTGCAAGAATACCAGAGTAAGAAATTGATGGCTGATCATGGGGTCACAGTTCAGAAATTCTTCGTGGCTGACACTGCAAATGATGCTATTGAAGCTGCTAAAAGATTAAGTAAGTTGACTAATCATAGAATTAAGCCCTTAATGGCTATTAACCAGCCTGAAAATTAATTTACACTGCAGTAAATAAATACGCATAGTTATTGTGATCTTCAAAGCTGGAACAACTTTTATTTTGGAAAGTAGAAATGCGTGAAGAAAGTGAACATGTTTTCATTTTTTGTTTTTTATTCCTTACAGTCCAGAGACTCTGAATGGTTACAGTAAATGTATGATTATATAACTGTTTCTATAATATTGTAGCTACTATGACTTTCCAGGATTTAATTTCATTTCTTTGAAACATTTTGTATAGTAATGTCAAGCACAGGAAATCAGGAGTCCGGGTAGTTCAAATGAATATGTAGGTGTATTGCAAGCTTAAGCTCTCTACAGCAGTGTTTCTCAACCTTGGCAACTTTACGATGTGTGGACTTCAACTCCCAGAATTCTCCAGCTAGCATTGCTAGCTGGAGAATTCTGGGAGTTGAAGTCCACACATCGTAAAGTTGCCAAGGTTGAGAAACACTGCTCTACAGGAATCTGAACTACTGATGGTCAAAGCGAGTTGGCAATAGATAAGAGTCAATGGAATTCAATGTGGGCTGGACTTAGATCACTTGTGGGTTCGAAGGGACTTGAAACTTATGACGCATTTGACCCCTCCCTCGGGTTCAGCATGGTCATCTCCTATAAGTAAACATAGATAGCGAGTACCAATAAAATTGTAACCAAAATGGAATTAACACTATATCTGGGAGAATTGAGAAATTTGCAGAAGCCCTTTAATTGCAGCAGGTATAAACACACTGGAAAAAAAATGCAAAAATATTTTGAAAAAAAAAGGTACGATAAGGAACTGTCCACCACAAAAATTTTAGAATTAATGTATACTTTTATTTATATATATATATGATACGATTTGTATAGCTACCTATCTCGCACAAGTGACTCTGGGTGTCTGCTAAGGATTAAAGCACAATCAAACCCACAAAATATAAGCCTAGGCCTCTGAGGATAAAGAGTAACCCCAGTCTCAGAAAAGGTATATTGATAACAGTAGACTTTATTTACCCACCTGTTCCAAGGGCCTGGAGAAATAGATACGGTAAATCTTCAATGCCTTGCAAAAGGCTAATAGGGATGGGACCACCTGAATCTCCAGGGGATGCTGTTTCCCTGGATAGGTGTTGCCACCAAGAAGGCTTGACTTCCAGTATCTGGCAAGATGACCCTTGTTCAATAGATGTGACCTGGAACGTGCCACCTCTGCTAATCTGATGGGGTGAGCAAAAACAATAGAAGAAAGGCAAGTATCTTATCCCTTACACCAGAGATCCCCAATCTTTTGGGCACCAGGGACCGGTTCTATGGAGAGAGGTTTTTCTGCAGATGGAGGGTGTATGGTTTTATGTGCTGCCTGCATCCCTCAGATAGGACTTTGCTTGTTTGTCTGGACCGGTTGCTGGCATGCCGCGGCCCAGTACTGGTCCACGGACCGGGGATTGGGCATCCCTGCTGTACACTAAAGGTTTTATAAGTAATGACCAGCATCTTGAATTGCACCTGGAAACTTAACTGGGAATCAGTGCAACTCACAAAGCAGCAAAGTTGTATGAGTATAACAAGAAATACTCTAAACTGCCTGTGCTGCTCCATTCTGTACCAGCTGCAGCTTCTGAATGTTCTTCAAAAGGCAGCCCTATTGTGAAGTACAATAGTAATCCAGCTAGGAGCTGATCAGTATTCAACATTGACTACTGTATAAAGAAAACAAAACAAAACAGAAAATGGTAGATAAAGAATTACATAGAAGCTCAGCTATAATTATGTGTTTTTTTATAAAAAAGATACACGTGTGTAGGTAATCCTCGACTTACAACAATTCATTTAGTGACCATTAGAAGTTACAACAGCAATGGCCATTTTTCACACTTATGACCATTGTAGTATCCCCATGGACATGTGATCAAAATTCAGATGCTTGGCAACTGACTCATATTTATGACGGTTGCAGTGTTCCCAGATCCTGTGATCACCTTCTGCGAGCTTCTGACAAGCAAAGTCAATGGGGAAGCCAGATTCACTTAACAACTGTGTTACTAACTTAACAACTGCTGTGATTCACTTGACAACTGTGGCAAGAATGTTCATAAAATGGGACAAAATTCACTTAACAAATCTCTCAATTGTGGCCATAAGTCGAGGACTACCCATATTTTTAAACATCCACATATGTAAACACACTCATATGTATTATTTAATATATGTGCCCGTGCAAACACAAATAAACACAAATTGTCCACGGCGAGAACAACAGCCAAAAGCAATTGCAATGGAGGAGGTTAAATCACTTCTCTCGTGTGATTGTCTGACTGCTTATTTTAAAGTAAAAATCAAAGAGTCAGCTATACCATTTGCATTTAATGTAATGTAGTTTGACATGTTACGCGTGCTTAACTGTGAGAAATAGAAATTCTAAATTAGTGATCTGGGTTCTCATATACAAACTTGCTCTTCCGTATCTGAAAGTTGTTTTACTAGTCATTCTTCAAATTACCGTGATAAAAGGTAAAATAATATCATATGTGCCACTTCAGCAGATTAAATGAGAATGCTCTTGTGTGAGGCTCTGAACCTTACATGTTTAATCTCTCCCTTTTCTTCTCTCATCAGTTCCCTTTAATGACTGCTGAGCTCAGAAAAGCTCTTGTAGCGAGCCCACTGATTGCTTTCAACATGAGATATGATACGACTTAATAAGTAACAGAGTTATAAATAGGACAGCAAAGAAAACCAATCATATATACCTATTATAGTAAAAAAAAAAAAGGTGAATCTGTGGATTGAGTAATGTTCCTACAGCTTGACATTTCATGGTTTATTAATGATATTGTCATTGATTATAGTTATGATTACAAGAAAAAGCAAGTGCATACACACATACACACACACACACACACACACATACAATATACATGTTGATTTAGAGAAAAAAAGAAGTAGGGAATATATGGCGCATAATGGTCTAAAGAAGCTCAGTGTGGAATATGCAGCAGTTCACACAAGGGATAGGTGAGCACAGTTTTGACCTCTCTGTCTTTTCTAGGTCAGACCATCATCATTCTCCCATTACCTGTTCTCCTTTCATGGGATAGTTGGGGCTGCAGCTAAGGCAGTGTGGGGATCCACGAGCCTTTCTTTCAAGATGCTCTACCAGTAATTCTCACCCACAGCTGGGACAGGACAAGAACTTCCCTTGCTAAGCAAAGAGGTCATTAAGTGACTTGCTCTCGATTTTATGAACTTTTTAGCCACAATAGTTAAGCAAATCTGGCTTCCCCCACTGACTTGCTTGTCAGAAGGCCCTTGGGAAGGTTGCAAATGGTGATCACGTGACCTTGGGATTCTGCAACTGATTCTGCTGGTTTTGCCAAGGACCCAGATTTTGATCACATGGCCATGGGGTTGCTGCAACCAGTTGTAAGCACCTTTTTCAACACATTTTTATACCTTATTTCTAAAAGTGACTTACAACCAGCCCTTGTACTTTTTGAAAAAAGGTTCAGATTCTGCACTGAACTTCTTTAGACCATTAGGCACCATCCTTTCCCTACTTCTTTTTTCTCTAAAGCAACGTGTATATTGTATATGTGTGTGTATATACTGTACACTTGTTCGCTCTTGTAATCATAACCATAATTAAGGACAATAACCATGAAATGTCAAATGTTGTAACTTTGAATAGTCATTAAACAAATAGTCCTAAGTTGAAGACTACTAGTATTCCACTCATAACTATTAATTTTCAAGTCAAAATTAGTAAATCATACGAAAGTGGAAATAAATGTGCTAATTCATTGATTGAATTAAACTGTTTCATGTATTTCATTTCTGAATGCACATCCCCGGTGAGATTATTGTTCATATTATTTAACATAATCAAATACAATAGATTAATTGTTTATTAATCTATTGTTTTTAGAACAGGCCTGTTTTTAGAACAGGCCTGTTATTTAATTTGATTTTAGAACAGAAACTATTTATTTATTATTGTGGTTTTTAGTATCGCCTGTTCACCGCCCTGAGTCCCGTAAGGGAGATAGGGCGGTATATAAATTTAATAAATAAATAAATAAATAAATAAATATTATTCTTCACTTTTTACTGTAAAGAGAGATAAAGGAGGCAATGAATAGGTACCTTATTTGACTAAGGTATTCTTTAGCAGAATTCAGTTGAATTGATGGAATAAAGTTCAAAAATTAGTCTGAAGTACGTATTTCAAAGTTGTTAAATTGTTGTCTACTTAATCCAATGA